GTAAAGTTATTATGCACACAATAACAATTATTAACGACGACGACGACTACGACAACGCCGGACAAAATTTGTCCCTTAATATATCTTTCCCTTCCATCTTTGATGGTACGGGCAAGGTAATAAAAACACTTCCAAATCATTGCCATTACAATGAATTTCATGAGAGCATGAATAATGGGAAAAAAAATTGACTAATCACAATGTGTTTACCGGTGCATAGCAGTGAATCAGCCAAGGATTGAAGGATTGAAAAACTCAAAAACTCATGGGGAATGGACATTACCAATCAGCTTCTACAACCAATAAAAGAACATATTTTGTGGATTTGAATAAAGCGTCTTCCAAATTAAATAAATAAATAAATTTTATTTTATAAAGTTCTTTTAAAAACATTCATGCCTTCATGAATTTTACTGTATCAAATTCTATTTCTGTGAACATCTGGGTACTTGCAATAAGTCCAAAACTGCCATATCACAATCCAATAGTCTGAGCAGCCCATTTTATATTTTTTACAGGCATGCTCTATCAGATGTGTTCACAACCAACGAGTTAAGTACTACTGTTCATGTAATGCAGTGTAGACTTGTGTTTTTTGTTGAGAAAAATATGCATGACAACGTAATATGTTACCGGTAATTGTATAATGGTAATTTTGGACTATCAACATTACAGAGTAGTGAGGTGACTATTCTATTATGCACTGGGAGTTACAAATAAAACTGTCATCTCTAAGCCATTTTGTGACAAGTTTTTCAAAACGTACTTCCGTTAAATATCTATTAAAAGCCACATCCCTAAAAAGAAATCACACCCCTTCTTTTTGAACAATTGAGAACCAAAAATTAACCATTTCTCATATGTGCAGATGCTCTAATAGAAGCCACATCCCCTCTGTTGTATTGTACTATTTTAATAGAAACCGCGGCTTCTAATACAGATTTTACAGTAGGTTCTGTCCTACTGCTCATGTGTTACGTAGACATGGTTTTATTTTGAATTCATCCATTGAAAAATGTAATTAATATTTTCCTGGATTTTTTACATTTGTGATGTAACTTGTCTTGGAATGATCAGATGTAATCTCGTTGATGTTTGTAATCACATATGAATGCTTAAAGACATTACATCAAAGAAAGACCACAGTTGCCTGTCCTTATATAATATTCCTGAAAGTCAAGATGATATTACTTATTGATAAAACTTACATGTCTTTTGTCATTTTTCCACCCCCCTGAATATTGCTTTTTAAAGCCACCTTCCACTGCAGGGATGCTTAATGTACCAAAACCATTACGTTTTCCAGTTTTCCAATCTCCATCATATATGGCTCCACTTTTCTTCCATCTGTTTGTACCCTTGCCTGTTAAAATCAACGATTATATTCAGGGCTTTATACAAAATCGTAGGAGCGGATAATGATTTGCAGCATTTTGTGGTTATTGTTGTTTGTTATTCAAAGTCACAGTGTTCAAATATCCATGTTATTTTATCATGACTTCTGGTTTTTAGAATCATAAGTGGAAAGTCGTACAATCACCAGATCACAGACTCTGTCATAGATTTGTAGTACGGATGTTTGGGATGTCATATGTACATAACTGTTACATGTAAAGACGGTGCATTTCAGTTTTTACTCACCATGCTTCATGTTATCTAACCATTCACCCGTGTATTCGTCGCCATTCACCGCGTACACAGTCCTGTGCAAGCCTTTCTTTTGAGCTTTATAGTCCCACTCCTTCCAGAGGGGCTGGACCCTTTTGGGGGGTTTCATATGCGGCATGTTTCCCTCCCAATTAAAGGCCCAGATATAAAGCAGAAGAAAAAGGGGGTTTCGATAAGTTGAAACCGACTCGAGATGAATTTTGCTGCGACGATTTAATCTAACGTACTACAGCTACAGGTCGCTTCAAGTAGGATCCTGTTGCATTAGAATGGTATCCGATCTTCTAAGTTTCGGCAAAGACTTTCACAATCTTTCAAATGTGATGATTTTTCAAGAAAACCACAAGTTTTCTGCTGTAAACAAACTCACTTCCCCGATCTCGCTTTTCAAAGACGATGCGCATGCTATTTGCGCATACACCATGGCAACCTTTCCCGTGATGCACTTTGAAGGCACCTAAGTTACTTAAAAATAATACATGTACTGGTAGCTCGAATCTTTCGGACGGCTGAAGTGTTGGAATAGGGGAGAGGGGGGTCTATTTTAAGAGGATGCTACAAAAAAGTAAAAATATTGTCACTTTTACATATTTGTTATATCATGTTACAAGGATGAAAAAAATGAATGAAAAATACGGGGTCACCATACTCAGTTTGAGGAAAACTGATCAACAAAAAACAGTGAAACAGTCTGTTTTAGGTGCAGTCTTCAATGTTCTTGAGGAACTGTTGTTTTAGGACATTTTACCAATGTTTTCAATGAAAATATATATATCAAAATTTTCCTCGATGACATATGATGAAAAAACGATATATAGTGTCTTACCTGGTACTTTTGATGTCTAAAAGTAAAAGATTGACAATAGTTTTAGTTGTTTTTTACCAAGGAAGTTTGTTTTCTATGGAAACTGCTACCAAAGTGGCTTTTTTATGATGTATTATGTCAAAAAACAAATTTACAGTGAACCAAAAAATGTCACATACAGTTGACTATAAATACTAAAACAATTAATTGTAGAAAGATTTTGGCACAAAATATTGTCACTGCCTTATGAGCTGATGAAATATGCACACATGTAAAAAAACGCATGCGTTGTATTCTATGGTACATTTGATTTCAACAGTGGTTTGCCTAGACTGTCGACAGTCTATGGTTTGCCGTTAATAAAAATAGAATCAAAGGAAGGATAGGAAGGAAGCATATTGTATATGCACTACAGTTAGTGTTTTTATGACTCAATAAATTGTAATTTAAAAAATTACGATAATTATATGGTTATTTAATCCAGGTGACCACAGTCAGCTGGTGTGTATGACCCTAGGGTGTTTCTACACTCCATGTCACATGACTATGCCTGTGATAATTCTCACAGATAATGGCACTGTTCACTCAGACACTAGTTTTCTGAGACCAATAGAGGGCGCCATCTGTCACAAATGTAAAGACGAAACGAACTACCATAAATGCAAAGTCATTATTGAGTAAGTATGTAATAAATACATGTACCAGTACTATCATATGAAAATTAATTGAATTACAACTACTGACCTTATTCAAATAAAATTATTAAATAAACATACATTTAATACATACATTATGTTGGCCTGGTAGTTTTGCTTAATTTCCATAAACATGTAATTAGTTTTGTCACTGCGCATTAAAAGAATAATAACATAAATTCAAAAATGCACATTCTAAATCATGTTCTTTATCTCTGACTTTAGAAGATGTAGAGATGTTACCATGGAGACAAAGATGAAAACAAAAAGTAGGGCAATCAAGCATCTGCATCTGTTGAATATAAAAAAAATAAGGAAAATTTCTAAATTTTACTATTTTTCTGAAAAATAATTTGTGAGATTTCAATTCGAGAGCAAAAAAATTAAATACCAATGACAGAAAATATTTATTGATGATTCTGGTCATTGTGCATGAACAAGTGCATGACAGATTTTTCTCAGATTTTAGAAAACAAAAATAAATTTCTCCTCAGAAATAAAATGTTTTTTTTTATGACAATTTGCACCTATTCATACATTAGTTTCAGAAAACTAATTGACACATTTGTTTTTATCAGTTTTTCCGTCCATAGATGTACATTTGAGTATACTGTTGTAAAACCGGTACCGGGAGTACTATACAATTTTATTTCCTAATTTTATACATAGCAAAGGTCAGATTCACATTTCAGTTGATATTTAGTAAACTAGATGAATTATGACACGACCTATAATCAGGTTTTTTTTTATTGGGTACAGCCAGCTGCGAGAATTGATGAGGCCATTTCTCTTTGATGGTATTACTGAACAAAGCCAGATTGTCCCATAATCCCTGCACATTCCAAACATACAAACACCATATAGCATAATTAGCATATAAGAAATGTATATATTATTTATCGACCACATTGTTAACTGATATTATTTATGATCCAGTGATATAACAATTGATTATTAATTTTGCATTTTACACACATTATATTGTTTACACCGGGACCTACATTGAAAATGATCCATAGCGACGACCACTATCAAGTAAAGATCGGGTAAATGGGTCAACCTTTTGAGTATCAAAGTGAACTTTTATCAGACTCAAAATAAACCTGCATTATTTTTTTTTTCAACAATTTTGATTTTCATATGAAATGTTTATTCATGTTCTACTTGATCACAAAATTAATTATAGAAGAAATTATACATAAAAATGTGAAACATGTTGCACCTCAAATATCTATTCAAAAAAGTTTCGATTTGTGCAGCTATTGATTACATCTTACCTAAAAGTCTTGTTTTTGGGTCATCTTATATTCCTGAAAAAAAGAGTGACACAGATTGATTCCTTTAATGATAAATATGTTTTTATTTTTATTTCATTAAATGATCAAAAACAGTTATACAAGCTGTGAGTATCATATACCGTAATTCAATAATATAAAAAAAATGATAAATTGTGAAGAAATAATGAAATGGCATATATTGCATGAATAAATAAGTTGAATTTTATCCACAAAACAAATACTTTAATATTTCCTGATCTTCACATATCAGTCATAAGAATTACACAACTTCTTCTGGAAATTTGCCAAAATTTTAGAAATCATGAAAGAACAAAATAAATTTTCATGAAAAATCAAAATAAAGGCAAATATTTAAAAAAAATTATTTAGAAAACAAAAAATATACCGTACATATACAAATACTGTCATCTTAACAATGTAATGTTGGCACGGTTACAATCGCAAGACTGTAAATCTGCCTACTGACGCTGTTCAATATGCTGCAGCCAAAAGGCAGAACCAGCAAATATAGAATAGATAAAAATACGTAGAGCATTAGATTAATATACAAATTATGTAATTATTAATTTGAACACCGTGTGTCTGTCTATCACAGGAACACTCCATACATTGCAACCAAACTGGATTGCGAATAATGTAAATTTATGCTGTCATGGAAACAAGCACACCTGTACGCTTAATGTAACCAAGTATGTATAACAAAATATAAATCATTTCATGTATGCCAGTTTCCATAGTTACCTTTAATAAACAATACTTTATCTCGTATCCCAATTACATGCAATACGCTAATAAATAATATAAACTCTTTGAGAAAATATACAAGTTGCTGGGGGACAATATAATTCTTCCATTTAACATAATGGACAAGCCTCTTCAATATTCAGTTATAACTCAACACAGGGAATAATCATGGCTGAAAAAAAATATGCATGAATTCTGGACTGAGGAATCCATTTAAAATCTACACAATCATTACAAAGAATAGTGCCTCAACATTGTCAGAACTAATCACGAGAAAAATCAAAGAATGCTTTTTTAAGCGGAACAAAATCACTTGTATTTTCTGGTCTGTCTTTGAGAATACTAGTATCTTGACAGGCAATGATCAAATTGGAATTATCAACTTCTAAGCCAAGAGACATAAACGAAAGCACCCCAACCCTTTTATTTAGCAACAGGCATTTACTTCTGATAAAAAACAAACCTGGGTATGTACAGGAATGTAGTAAATACTGTCAAATCATTTAATTTCACTGGGTTTTAAGTTCATGAACTTGGCAGGGAAACAATATGCTCTATTGTTATGTTACATGTCCACATAAATTTAATTCGTCAAATTTTACGAAATTAAAAACTAGCGTTTACAGCAAAAAAAGGGAGAAAAAAAATGAACTGGTTCATGAAAAAGACAAGTCACTGCTGTATTGTACTTGGCTGAATTGAGGACACAAAAGTGGTAAAAAGGAACATGGATGTCGAGACAATTACATCGCAACAAAAAACGAATGCCGGACATTTCGGCCTTGGACAATTCGACCCCGAATGTTTCGGCCTGGACATTTCGGCTCCGGACGTTTCGACCCCGGACGTTTCGTATGTATTAAATATTTCTGTAAACAAATATATGCCAACATCATGAAATAGACTATGTATTAAATATTTCTGTAAACAACTCTATGCCGACATCATAGACTATGTATTAAATATTTCTGTAAACAAATATAAATAAACAAATAACTTATCGTCAACACTTATTGTTATGAAATAATGGATTTCATCACTTATAACGATAGGTATGAATTTCACTAGAAAGAGTTCATTGTGTCCTCTCATGTCCATCATGTATATTAACAATAAACGTGGTAAAACGTTGCTTTTTTATATTACCATCTCTGTTTGCTAGATGAGATTGGGAGATATTTCTGTATGGCTTCACTCATGTCGGCAACATCACTTGTAACGCTAATTTTACATACTAACAGAGTACTGGAGATCGTTTATTTTATAGAGGAGAGCCACGGGCCGAAACGTCCGCCCGGACCGAAACTCTTGGCCGAAAAATCCGGGCCGAAACATTTGAGCCGTAACGTCCGGGGCCAAAACGTCCGGAGCCAAAACATTCGTCCACCACAAAAAACATTTTGGAAATCATATACAAACAATTATGGCTATTTAAATTAAATATAGAAACAATGTTTATGTCAAGTTCAAATGAAATCAACCCAGGCATGTCTTTGAAATGGTTAATCAATTATGCATTTAAACATAGCTATTTGTGGCTTTTTTGATCACATCGCTGTATCAATTTCGAATAAATTCAGTCCTGACATGTCAAAGAAATAACGTCTACGGCAGAGACAAAAGGACATAATAGCAGTCTGGGATAAAAATAAATCAACAATAATAAACAGCTCGACAAACAAGATGACATTCATACTTTCACCAGTTGTCCTCCTCCAAATAGTGTCTACAAACCTGAGAAGTTGAAAAACCTAAAATTTATAAAGTCATTTTAGTTAAAATACATTTGTTCAGCCTAAAAAAAATAGTTCAAATATATACATGTAATAAGGTTTAACCCGGTATTAATCTAATCTTGTCACCCTATGTACTTGACTACATAAGGGTTAAGTGAATGTTGTGATACATAGCCAACTACACAATGTCATATAATAAAACACAATCTCATGATCCCCTGAAACCTACACATAATTTTGGGAAAGTTAATCCTAATATGCCAATGTTCTTTGGATGTTTTGCCCAAACATGGAGTGATAGTTCCATAGTAAAATAACACCACATTTTGTTGTGTGTTTATACAATCCTATATTTTGAGAAAAAGTACCAAATTATTGAAAAATTGGCTATTTTGTAGAAAAAAATAGATTTTCGAAATAATTCAGGTTAATCAAAAGTATTGAAAATCAGTCACAGCACATTATTACATAGGTATAATGCCTCCACCATAAGAACCAATCACTGGTGACTTCAAAGTCAAAACCATTATACTGGCCAACAGTACAATTCATTGCATAAAGATAGCATATTTTCATTTATGAGTAGGCTCCTACCTTTAAAGTCTAATTTGTTTGTGATTTTTACTGGCTTGTTAATGGTTAATGAGATGGGAGCATTGACAGTTCATCTCTATGAACTGTTCCCTGTATTCCACATATCTTTTTGTACATACCTTGAAATTGTTAAATGTACTTTATGAGATCAAACTAAACTTATTTTGGCACCAAAGAATAGATCAGTAACGTACATGTATTTGTAAATTTGTTCCTCCCCAGTAAGCTTATTTCCATTGGCTGTAAAATTTCAAGATGTCCCAAGCAATCTCAATATTTTGTCAAACAACGGCAGATCTATCAACTCTGATTACTGTCTGAATGTACAGTAAAGTCAACTTAAACAACAATGCAAAAATATAGTTTTTAGAGTTGTGACACTTTGAAAAAAACAATGAATAATTGTAAAAAAATTGACCACCTCCAAAATTAGTCACTTTGGCACCATAGTATAGCTGTCCAAAAGACTTAAGAATGACAAACACTCCCTCTCATGTCCGTGCTAAACTATTTGAATATTGGAATTGAGATTCGCTCCGGGTCCATTCGTCTCTAACTGCAGTGCCATGTGCTCGAGTTCCTCAACACCCTGTGTTGATCGTTCATATTTATGTTCCACAAGATTGCGGTAGAAATGCACTGCAAATGCAACAAAGATGAGAACCACTGGTGCAAGGATTGCAGTAGCGGCAATAGCGGCGTTAGTGCTGTGACCGTAAAACTTCACCCAGCATATGATTGCAATCTCTACGAGGAAAAGCATGATGCCGATTGCAGTAGAAAACACCCACGCAAGCTCAATGTAGAAATGCAAGCGGTCGTGTGGCGACTCGTTAACGGCCGAGACATTGTGAACATTGCTGACTGCTTCTATATTTGGCAGGACACAAACGCTAATCATGAGGGCAAACAGATGGACCGCTACTAAGATAGTGGTACATACGCTGAACGTAACAAGTAAAGCATCGGGTATCGGGTGATCATAGTCCAGTTGTACTTCAACCATAGCAATCTGAAAAATAATGCAATAAATGAAAGTGAGCAAGTAACGACAGAAGGAAAGGGTTTAATGGACCATTTTCCGTTCACTGCGAGAATCACGCGTTATGCGTGAAATCGAGCGTAAAAACAGGACAAACAAAGGTCATAGCGTCGTAGTGGCGTCAAACATCGCGTGAGATTCGACAAACGCGAAAATATTTTTGGGGGCATTTCCATGCTTAATAATTTGCTGTACACATTTGATGATAGACAATTTCGATTAAGTGAGGGTATTCGCGAAAGCAATATTCCTCTGTCGAATAATCGGCCGGTCGATGTGAGCTACGAAATAAAGAAATTCAAGTTCAAAATCAAATCATTCGATTTTTCCGGCAGAGGTTCGACGCGCATCTTTCATGCATCTCGCGAGATCTCGCAGTTGAACGGAAAATCACCTATTCAAAGATGTTGATGCATGTATTCCTACGTACATCCAGCATATGTTTCTTTAACATAGGTATTCATCACCTGTTGACACCTGACATTATTTATTATACCTTACAGCATATCAATGGTAGCTTTTAGCAGGTGATGTGTTCATATTGCAGACAGCGTTTGTCTTTACTTCAAATTACCAGACACAGAACAAACATTTTGTTGCATAATTTAAATAATAGCTTATCAGAATAAAAGTTGCAGTCTGTGTTTTTTAAAAAAAAAAATAAAAAAATACTTAGTAGATGTGCCAGAAACAACTCAGTGAATGTCACTATTTTGTCTTAAATGCAAGTTTAAAAAACAGTGCATTATATTGATATTCTAATTTTCTGAATATATGTCAACTTTTGTCACTATACACAAAAATAAACCCACGTAATTTTATCTATTTTCTTTCAAAAATGTTGTACAAACTTGTAGACAATGTAAAATTTGGTCCAAAATAAACAAAGAAATTGAAGAAAAATACACAAAAATGTGCAAAATGTAGTACCAACATTTTGGCGGAAAAATTATATTCAAAGATTAAAAATACATTTGATAATATTTATATTTCCAGTACAGGGCTCAGAATTAACAAATTTGTTTGAAAGTCTATAAGGCTACCACTTTTAAGAGCTGGTATTCCCATTGTAATATTGGGTAGTCTATCAGGTTTCATAGTGTATGATCATAGGTATGCAGAAAAATGGTAATAGAAATAAATAATTTGGTTTGAAACAAATTGGTTCATTTGAAAAAGAAATTAACTAATTTAGAAAAATTAAAACCCCAGGAACAAGATTTGGTAGTTTGGGGGATTTTGGCTACAGTCAATTTTGAGCCCTGATGTACATAATAATACCATCTCAAAATAAGATCCCTCTTTCAATTCAAAGATGTCCTTGCTCTACATGTATATATCAAATAATTTGTTTAAAACATGGATAAATCCAATATTCTTAATATTGCAAACTCACTCACATTAAACGAAAATATTTCTTATGTTGCATGATTCAGAAAAAAACATAGCCCCAGGACAAGATTTAATACTGTGGAATACTTTATTTTCGCTGGATTTAATTTTCGCTGAAAAGGCTTTTTAGGCATTTTGCTTGGAATTTATTTTCTCTGAATTTTGATGAGTTTAATGTGAAATATAGGGAAAAAAAATATATTCGCTGGATTTTATTTTCACGGAATTATCCCTTCAGCAAAAATAGCGAAAATTTATTTCAAGCCAAAATAAAGTATTCTACAGTAGTCTGTGCGCTTTGGGCTACTGTACATTTCAAGTCCTGGCGTACATATTACCA